CGCAAAAAAAAAAAAAAAAAAAGTATATTTGATCTTAGATGTTGAGGTATAGGGGAAAAGCTATTCAAAATTTGGACCACTGAAGAATTATCTCTGAGTATTCCTGCACTCATAGTTGAATGAATTGATGCTAGGGATGGAGATATGGTGTTGAACAAGGCAGACTTTACCCTCATGGAGCTTCAATTCTATGTAGCAAAACAGGTAAGCAAAGAAACATGTGAGATAATTATGAGGTGGGGTAAATGTGATGAAGGAAATATTGGTGTGATAAGAGGGAGTGTCTGCTTTAGACAGAGGAATCAGAGATGGCTTCTTCGAGAAGATGACCTTAAAGCTAAAATCCAAGTGATAAAAGAGTCTGCCTCTCATGCAGATCTTGTTTTCCCTGTATAGATAATTTTATTTTTAAGGGGTTGTGACATCTGAAAACTTGAGTAGATTTAATAGTCCACACTCTAGAATGTCTACAACTAAAGGAGAGGACAGATTTAAAGCAAACCATAAGTAGTTAGGTTGTAGTCTTTGAGAGAAGATATTTGTCTAAAATTGATTAGTGTTTTACCATTAAAAAATATATTACTGAGGGCTTCCCTGGTGGTGCAGTGGTTGAGAGTCCGCCTGCCAATGCAGGGGACATGGGTTCGTGCCCCGGTCCGGGAAGATCCCACATCCCGCAGAGCGGCTGGGCCTGTGAGCCATGGCCGCTGAGCCTGCGCATCCAGAGCCTGTGCTCCGCAACGGGAGAGGCCACAGCAGTGAGAGGCCTGCGTACCACACACACACACACACACACAAAATATATATATATATTACTGAGACTTTATTGCATGGAGAAATTTTTTTTACAATAAGTGCATCTATTTTAAGGGTACAATTTGATGAGTTCTGACAAATGTATACATCTCTAACTACCACCACAATCAAGATGTAGAACATTTCTGTCACACCTGCCCATGCCACTTCACACTCAGTCCCCACCCTGACCCCAGCAACCATCAATTTGATTTCTGTTGCTACAGATTTGTCTTCTAGAGTAGTGCTGTCCAATACAGTAGGCACTAGCTACAGGTGGCCTTTTAAAGTTAAGTTAATTAAAATCAAATAAAATTTAAAATTCTTTGTTGCACTAATCACATATCAAATGCTGAAGCCACAATGTGGCTGGTGGCTACCATATTGGACAGTGCAGATATTAAGCATTTCATTCATCACAGAACAGTGGTTTGGACAGCACTGTTCTAGAATTTGATGTAAATGGATTTATATGGTATGTATTTTTTTGTTTCTGACATCTTCCTTTTGTGACTTAATTCATGTAACAAAATTCACCTTTGTTTTTTTTTTGTTTTTTTTGTTTTTTTTGTTTTTTTTTTTGCTGTACATGGGCTTCTTCCTGGACCGGGGCACGAACCTGTGTCCCCTGCATCAGCAGGCGGACTCTCAACCACTGCGCCACCAGGGAAGCCCTCACCATTTTTTTTTTTTAGTTAATTTATTTATTTTTTGGCTGCATTGGGTCTTCGTTGCTGTGCATGGGTTGCTCTAGCTGCAACGAGCAACGAGCAGTGGCTACTCTTCACTGCACTGTGTGGGCTTCTCATTGCAGTGGCTTCTCTTATTGTGGAGCATGGGCTCAGTAGTTGCAGCGTGTGGGCTCAGTAGTTGCAGTGCACAGGATCTAGGGTGTGGGCTTCAGTCGATGTCGCACACGGTCTCAGTAGTTGTGGCACACGGGCTTAGTTTGCTCCGTGGCATGTGGGATCTTCCCAGACCAGGGATCAAACCCGTGTCCCCTGCATTGGCAGGTGGATTCTTAACCACTGCACCACCAGGGAAGTCCCCTGTCAGTCTTTTTCAATTTTAGCCTTTCTAGTAAGTATATAGTGGTATCTCATGTGGTTTTAATTTACATTTCCCTAATAACTAATGTTATTGATTATCTTTTCATGTCTTATTGGCAATTTATACATCTACGTTTATGAAATGTCCATTCAAATCCTTACCCATTTTTTAATTGGATTGTTAGTCTCACTGAGTTTGAGTTCTTTAATTATAACTGAATACATGATGTATTCTATTAAACACTAAAGAATAAAATATTCCTTTAAAAACAAGAATACAGTCCTTTTTCGGGTAAATAAATAAATATATATATGTGTGTGTGTGTATACATATGTATACATATATGGCAGAAATTTTCTCCTAGTTTGTTGTTTGCTTTTTTACTTCCTTAACATTGTCTTTTCAGGAGCAGAAGGCATTAATTTTGATGAAGCACTATTTTTCACTCTTTTCTTTTGTGCTTTGTGGTTTTTGAGTTCTATCTAAGAAACTGTGACTACCCCAAGGTTGCAAAGATTTTCTCATATGTTTTGTTCTAGAAGTCTTAAGGTTTTAGGTTTAATGTACAGGACTGAGATTCTTTTTTTTTTTTAAACATCTTTATTGGAGTATAATTGCTTTACAATGGTGTGTTAGTTTCTGCTGTATAACAAAGTGAATCAGCTATACATATACATATATACCCATATCTCCTCCCTCTTGTGTCTCCCTCCCACCCTCCCTATCCCACCCCTCTAGGTGGACACAAAGCACCGAGCTGATCTCCCTGTGCTCTGTGGCTGCTTCCCACTAGCTATCTGTTTTACATTTGGTAGTGTGTATATGACCATGCCACTCTCTCACTTCGTCCCAGCTTGCCTTTCCCCCTCCCCGTGTCCTCAAGTCCATTCTCTTTGTCTGCGTCTTTATTCCTGTCCTGCCCCTCGGTTCTTCAAAACTTTTTTTTTTTAGATTCCATATTTATCTGTTAGCATATGGTATTTGTTTTTCTCTTTCTGACTTACTTCACTCTGTATGACAGACTCTAGGTCCATCCACCTCACTACAAATAACTCAATTTGGTTTATTTTTATGGCTGAGTAATATTCCATTGTGTATATGTGCCACATCTTCTTTATCCATTCGTCTGTCGATGGACACTTAGGTTGCTTCCATGTCCTGGTTATTGTAAATAGAGCTGCAGTGAACATTGCGGTACATGACTCTTTTTGAATTATGGTTTTCTCAGGGTATATGCCCAGTAGTGTGATTGCTGGGTCGTATGGTAGTTCTGTTTTTAGTTTTTTGAGGAAGCTCCATACTGTTCTCCATAGTGGCTGTATCAGTTTAAATTCCCACCAACAGTGCAAGAGGATTCCCTTTTCTCCACACCCTCTCCAGCATTTATTGTTTGTAGATTTTCTGATGATGGCCATTCTTAACGGTGTGAGGTGATACCTCATTATAGTTTTGATTTGTATTTCTCTAATGATTAGTGCATTTCTCTAATGAAAGGATGTTGAGAATCCATTCATGTGTTTGTTGGCAATCTATATATCTTCTTTGGAGAAATGTCTCTTTAGGTCTTCTGCCCATTTTTGGATTGGGTTGTTTGGTTTTTTGATATTGAATTGCATGAGCTGCTTGTATATTTTGGAGATTAATCCTTTGTCAGTTGCTTCGTTTGCAAATATTTTCTCCCATTCTGAGGGTTGTCTTTTTGTCTTGTTTATGGTTTCCTTTGTTGTGCAAAAGGTTTTAAGTTTCATTTGGTCCCATTTGTTTATTTTTGTTTTTATTTCCATTTTTCTAGGAGGTGGGTCAAAAAGGATCTTGCTGTGACTTATGTCATAGAGTGTTCTGCCTATGTTTTCCTCTAAGAGTTTTATAGTGTCTGGCCTTACATTTAGGTCTTTAATCCATTTTGAGTTTATTTTTGGATATGGTGTTAGGGAGTGGTCTAATTTCACTTTTATGGGTAACTGTCCAGTTTTCCCAGCACCACTTATTGAAGAGGCTGTCTTTTCTCCATCATATATTCTTGCCTCCTTTATCAAAAATAAGGTGACCATACAATGGAATATTACTCAGCCATAAAAAGAAATGAAATTGAGCTATTTGTAATGAGGTGGATAGATCTAGAGTCTGTCATACAGAGTGAAGTAAGTCAGAAAGAGAAGGACAAATACCGTATGCTAACACATATATATGGAATTTAAGGGAAAAAAATGTTATGAAGAACCTAGGGGTAAAACAGGAATAAAGACACAGACCTACTGGAGAACAGACTTGAGGATATGGGGAGGGGGAAGGGTGAGGTGTGATAGGGCGAGAGAGACATGGACATATATATACTAACAAACGTAAGGTAGTTAGCCAGTGGGAAGCAGCCGCATGGCACAGGGAAACCGGCTCGGTTCTTTGTGGCTGTCTGGAGGGGTGGGATACGGAGGGGGGGAGGGGGGGGGACAAAGAGGGAAGAGATATGGGAACATATGTATATGTATAATTGATTCACTCTGTTATAAAGCAGAAACTAACACACCATTGTAAAGCAATAATACCCTAATAAAGATGTTAAAAACAAACAAACAAAAAAAAAATAAGGTGACCATATGTGTGTGGGTTTATCTCTGGGCTTTCTATCCTGTTCCATTGATCTATATTTCTGTTTTTGTGCTAATACCATACTGTCTTGATTACTGTAGCTTTGTCATATAGTCTGAAGTCAGGGAGCCTGATTCCTCCAGCTCCATTTTTCTTTCTCAAGATTGCTTTGGCTGTTTGGAGTCTTTTATATTTCCATACAAATTGTGAAATTTTTTGTTCTAGTTCTGTGAAAAATGCCATTGGTAGTTTGATAGAGAATTGCATTGAATTTATAGATTGCTTTGGGTAGTATAGTCATTTTCACAATGTTGATTCTTCCAATCCAAGAACATGGTATATCTCTCCATCTGTTTGTATCATCTTTAATTTCTTTCATCAGTGTCTTATAGTTTTCTGCATACAGGTCTTTTGTCTCCTTAGGTAGGTTTATTCCTAAATATTTTTTTCTTTTTATTGCAATGGTAAATGGAAGTGTTTGCTTAATTTCTCTTTCAGATTTTTCATCATTAGTGTGTAGGAATGCAAGAGATTTCTGTGCATTAATTTTGTATCCTGCTACTTTTGGATTAACTTTTGTGTATCGTGTGCGCTAAGTAAGGATCCAGGTTCATTTGTTTTCCGTATAGAAATCCAGTTTTTCTAGCACAGTTGAAAAGACTTTTCTTTATCCATTGTATATGTATAGGTCTATTTCTGGACTTTTTCTTCTGTTCCTTTGAGGTATTTGTCTATCCTTACAATGGTATCACACTGTTTGGATTACTGTAGCTTTATAGTAAGTCTTGATTATCAGCTCTTGTAAGTCCTTCAACATTCTTTGTCAAAATTGCTTTGACTATTCTTGGTCCTTTGTTTTTCTATATACATTTAAAATCAGTTTGTCAATTTCTACAGATTTGACTGGGATTTGAGTGGGATCTATAGCTCAGTATGGGTGAAATTGTTATATTAGCGATAATGATTCTCCCAATACATGTAGATAGTGTATCTTTCCATTTCAGTATTTTGTAATGGGGTCTTCCCTGGTGGCGCAGTGGTTAAGAATGCACCTGCCAATGCAGGGGACATGGGTTCAAGCCCTGGTCTGGGAAGACCCCACAGGCCATGGAACAACAACGCCCATGCACCACAACTACTGAGCCTGTGCTCTAGAGCCCGCGAGCCACAACTACTAAAGCCTGTGTGCCTAGAGCCCATTATCCACAGCAAGAGAAGCCACCACAGTGAGAAGCCCGCACACCACAATGAAGAATAGCCCCTGCTCGCCGCAGCTAGAGAAAGCCCACACGCAGCAATAAAGACCCAACACAGCCAAAAACAAATAAATTAATTAATTAAATTAAATAAACTTATAGTATTTGGTAGTGTTCAGTGTAGAGGTCATACATGTATTTTGTTAAATTTATCCTTAAGCATTTTGTGTGTTTGCATGCAATTTTACAATTTTACATGTATTTTTAAATTTTAAATTTTTTTTTTTTTTTTGCGGTACACGGGCGTCTCCCATTGTGGCCTCTCCCGTTGCAGAGCACAGGCTCTGGATGCGCAGGCTCAGCGGCCATGGATCACAGGCCTAGCCACTCCGCGGCATGTGTTATCTTCCTGAACCAGGGCACGAACCCATGTCCCCTGCATTGGCAGGCGGACTCTCAACCACTGCGCCCCCAGGGAAGCCCTGTGATCTTGTTCATTTTTTACTCTTTTTCTATCATTCTATAACTGTGCTGTCCGACGTGGTAGGCATTAGCTCCATGTGACCTTTGAACACTTGAAATGTGTCCTCATTGAGAAGGACTGTAAATGTAAAATATGCACAGAAGAAAAGAATGTGAAATATTTCAGTAATAATTAGAAATTGATTACTGTTGAAATGATAATATTTTGGATCTTTTGGGTTTAATAAGCTATATTAAAATTAATTTCATTTGTTTCTTTTGTAGTGTGGAAATGAAATTAAAAATTACATATTTGGTTTGCATTTGTGGCTTACATTGTATTTCTTTTGGACAATGCTTTAATAAAATACTACTAACGTCAAAAATTTATTTATTTGTAGATGAAGAAAAAACTCCAGAACAAATCATGCAGGAAAAGGAAATTGAAGCGTAGGTCATATTTTAAAATTTTAGTTGTGGTTTTTACAGATTTAATAATATTATCCACCTTATAATATTGTCTTTCTTTTTCCTTTCCTTTTTTTTCCAAGTAATTTGTCATGCACATATTGAGAAGTTGTTGATGTGGGATGTAGATAGACTTACATGCACATGAGTGATCATATTAGTACTTTTGGCATCCTCCACACCTTAACAAGATACTTAGCAAAGTATCATAGCAGGAATCAGTTTACCAAATCTGTAAATGCATAGGTATGGGGAGCCTGTAGAATACTTTTATTTAGAGAACAGGCATTTTACTTTCTTCAAAGATTTACTTTATACCTTTCTTCAAGTAGTTACTTTTTCTGATATTGCTGAAATTCTTTTGTTCATGCTTCTTTGGCAGTAAAATTGAAGAACTGGAAAAAGAAATTGAAGAGGCAAAAATTGCTTTTGAAATGAAAAAGCTTGCGTTAGACAGGTAATTATTACCTTTTTTTTTTTTTTGCGGTATGTGGACATCTCACTGTTGTGGCCTCTCCCATTGTGGCGCACAGGCTCCATACGCGCAGGCTCAGTGGCCATGGCTCACGGGCCCAGCTGCTCCGCGGCACGTGGGATCTTTCCAGACCGGGGCACGAACCCATGTGCCCTGCATCGGCAGGCGGACTCTCAACCACTGCGCCACCAGGGAAGCCCAATTATTACCTTTTAAGTATGCAAAATGGGTATGGCTCAAGGTGGAGGGGATATTTTAACTAGTCTGAAGTAATCAGTCAAAATGATGTTTAGATAATGGTCCCACAAATTTTGAGCCCGGAGGGAAAAGTTACATCATTCATTAATGTCTTCATTTGAAGAAGTTACATAAGATAGGGTTAATAAGGAAATGTCAGTCAAGACAATTAAAGTGTGAGGTTAAATCTCATTCTGTGTTTGAAATGATTATATGGATTCATTTACTCCAGTAACTTTTTTTTTAATATTTGTTTATTTATTTTACTTTTTGGCTGCATCAGGTCTTAGTTGGGGGACGCGGGATCTTCATGCGGCGCCTGGGCTTCTCTCTAGTTTTGGCGCTCGAGCTCAACAGTTGCAGCATGCAGGCTCTCTAGTTGTGGCTTGTGTGCTCAGTAGTTGTGGCTCAAGGGCTTAGTTGTCCCACGGCATATGGGATCTTAGTTCCCCGACCAGGGCTCGAACCTGTGTCCCCTGTATTGGCAGGTGGATTCTTAACCACTGCGTCACCAGGGAAGCCCCTGATTGCCTTTTTATTATTATTTATTAGCTATTTGAATTTAAAAATAAATTACAGTGCTTGCTATTACATAGACACATTTTAAAGTTCACCGTCAAGTTTGGTTTTGTATTCCCTAACTCTACACATTTTGGGCCCATGTTGATCTCTGTAGTACCTTTTTTTTTTCTTCCAGTTTTATTGAGATATAATTGATATACAGCACTGTATATGTTTAACGTGTGCAGCATAATGTTTTGACTTACATGCATCCTGAAATGATTATCACATTAGGTTTAATGAACATCATCTCATATAGATACAAAATTAAAGAAATAGCAAAAAAATTTTTTTTCTTGTGGTGAGAACTCCTAGGATTTATTCTCTTAACAACTTGCACATATAACTTACAGCAGTGTTAAACATGTTTATTGTGTTGTACATTACATTTTGTAGTGCCTTAATGCTTCCTCGCAGCCCCGCACCAAGGTGGACGGCTTGGAGAGCAAGTTCAGGCTGGGTGTCAGGTCTGCTCAGCCCCCCTCTCTGGCCATATGCACAGCCGCATGCAACAGCCCCATCCATATTGGTGTTCCTTCATATTTCTATAACTTACTTATCAAAGTATTTCCCATATGATACTGTTTAAAAACCTACTTTTGTTTTATGTTATATTTAAAGAGAAATCAATCTTTACCTTGTCGTATTTTTAAATTTTCTTTTTCAGTGTACCCTAAATGTTACCCATGTTTTATAATGGAAGCTTTTTTCCTCTATAGGATGCAGCTTTCAAGTGCACTTAAAAAACACCTGGAGAAAATTAACATCAAGACTAGGTATGTTTTTTTGTTTGTTTTATTTTTTCTGGATTTGGCAAGGATGGGAATAAGGGAGATCCGCATAATGACTAGTTCTATGAATTTTTTTTTTTTTTAATTACCTGTCACTGCCGACCACCTTTATCTGGGGAATAAGAAACATGACAAAAAAAAACAAAAAAGAAACATGACAGAATTCTGTGGGCCCTTCTCATCATTACAACTTTTATAGTCCTGTTGACATTTTGTTTTATATGGATCGGGACCCTAAGAAGCAATGGAGGTTTTACCTATACAATCTGGGATTTTTTTTTTTTTTTAATATTTATTTATTTGGCTGCACCAGGTCTTAGTTGCGGCATGCGGGATCTAGTTCCCTGACCAGGGATCGAACCCAGGCCCCCTGCATTGGGAATGTGGAGTCTTAACCACTGGACCAACAGGGAAGTCCCCAATCTGAGAATTTTGAAGGAAGATTGTTTTTGTTTTTAATAAATTTATTTATTTTTGGCTGTGTTGGGTCTTTGTTGCTGTGCGCGGGCTTTCTCTAGTTGCGGTGTGCGGGGGCTGTTCTTCGTTGCAGTATGTGGGCTTCTCATTGCAGTGGCTTCTCATTGCGGAGCACGTGCTTTAGGCGTATGGGCTTCAGTAGTTGTGACATGCAGTCTCTAGAGCGCAAGCTCAGTAGTTATGGCGCACGGGCTTAGTTGCTCCACTACATGTGGGATCTTCCTGGACCAGGACTCGAAACCGTGTTCCCTGCATTGGCAGGCAGATTCTCAACCACTGTGCCATCAGGGAAGCCCCTGAAGGAAGGTTTTGAAAGTTAACTTTCGTTTGGGATTTACTGTAAAACAGGAGCAATGCTATCTCATTTAAGCCAACAACAACTCAATGAGATAGGAAATATACTCCTCATTTTTGTATTGGCAGAAATGATCTTGCATAGGTTCAATAATTGGCCCGGCAATCAAGGTCATCTCTAATCTGATCCTAAGTGCCTGGCCACTGGGGCCCTACCTGTGATTTTATCTCCCAAAGCTCTAATCTTGTGATAAAATACTACCACCACCACCACCTCACTGTTGGCACCGGAAAAGTACCGAGATGGATCTGGCACTTTCTCTATCTGGACGTCTTAGCCCTGACTGATACCCATTCCTCCCATATTCCATTTAACTCCAGGATTACATAAATCCTAAAATCTGAATTTGAACTCTTGAAATATTGCTCCCCCACGAAAGGAGAGCTTAAAACATTCTTGAGTTGAAGGAGTGCAGGATAGATTCATCGCATTGACACCAAAGACAGCACAAAGGCCAGGAAGGCTGAGGCAGCGCCTTTAGCCTGTCTTAAAGTTTACAACCACGTATAGCTGTAACTAGCAGAAAATGAGTTCAGCTCTCAGGTCTGTGCAAATAGTCCCCTTTTACAGCCTCCCAGGTAAACTTCTACAGTGTTTCTCACGCCTGGCTGATTATCAGGATAATTAGTATTTTCACAGTGGTCACATTGCTGGTCCCATCCCAAACCTGCTGACTCAGAAGCTCTGAAGATGGGGAGCTGGCAATTCACATTTAACGAGCCTCCCAAGGGAATGTGGCACTCTGAAATATGAGAACCACTATTCTCATCCAGTCTTATTTCCACCCTTTTTTTTTTTTTTTTATTTCCACCCTTTTACTCCAGCCTACTAAACTGCTTGATCTAGGTAATCTTCATAATTACACTTGAGCATTGAACAACCTGGGTTTCAACTGCCCAAGTCCACTTATATGCATGTTGTTTGGGGTTTTTTTTTTCAATAAATATGGCACCTGTATTTTCATTTTACAGATCTTTAAGTTAACTAAGTATGGGGGAAGATTTGTGTTTAGTTAGAGGTCACAATATGTGTAATAAGAAGAACTAAGGTTTGATCCAAGCTGTTTCAGCTTTCTGCCCTTGGGTGAGTCATTTAATTCCTTTGTTTTTGAGGCAGAGATAGCAGTGCTCTTAAGTGTGTGGGATGGTTCGTGTCCCTAACCACTCACCCCACCTGCATTGTTCACGGTTCAACTATACTATACATCTTTTAAGACTCAAGGATTTCCCTTGTTCCACCCTTTGCACAACTCTTAGAAGGGTTCATATCCATTACTGGTTGTAATGAAACCATATGATGGTTGTGGATTTATTTTTTCCCCCATAAGATTCTTTCTTCTTTGAAAACATGTACTATGTTTTATTCTGTTTTATATTCCTGGTGCCTGGCACAGTCTTGCCATGTAGTAGTCACTCAGAAATACTTGTTGGAGGGGCTTCCCAGGTGGCACAGTGGTTGAGAATCCGCCTGCTAATGCAGGGAACATGGGTTCGAACCCTGGTCCAGGAAGATGCCACATGCCGCAGAGCAACTAAGCCCATACACCACAACTACTGAGCCTGCGCTCTAGAGCCCTCAAGCCACAACTACTGAGCCCGCACACCTAGAGCCCTTGCTCGCTGCAACTAGAGAAAAAGCCCGTGTGCAGCAACAAAGACCAAACGCAACCAAAAATAAATAAATTAACTAATTAAAAAAAAAAAGAAATACTTGTTGGAGAAATGGGGATAAAAGCACTTTATTCACTGAAACTATTCTGTATGATATGATAATGGTAGATACATGTCATTATACATTTGTCAACTCAGAATGTACAACACCAAGAGTGAACGCTAACCCTAATGTAAACCATGGCCTCTGGGTGATAATGATGCATCAGTGTAGGTTCATCATTTGTAACAAATGGATTGCTCTGCTAGGGGGGAGGCTGTGCAAGCGTGGGGGCAGCGTGTACATGGGCTTCCCTTCCACTCGGTTGTGCTGTGAACCTAAAACTTGTCTAAAAACTAAAGTCTATTTCCAAAAAAAAAGCTATGTATTAGCAAGCTGTTAGGGTTTTTTCCCCCTAAATATGAGATTTTTAGAAATATTCCTGGGGAATTCCCTGGCGGTCCAGTGGTTAAGACTGAGCTTCCACTGCAGGGGCACCAGTTCGATCCCTGGTTGGGGAGCTAAGATCCCACATGCCGTGCAGTGCGGCCAAGAAAAAAACAAAAGAAATGTTATTTGATATTCTTTGTTGTCTGTGAGCAAAAATTTTTCTAGGGAAATGCATCTCTAATTCTAAACAGAAATTTAGTTTACATCAAATTTTTCCAGACTTATTTAGAAACAATGATTTTCTATTGAAGTGTACAGTGAATATAATGAAAGTAAATATATACTAACTGATTTCTTAATTTTTTTTAACTGTTAATAAATCATATTTTTTATTCCTTTTCAGTGTGCTCATGGATAACATGAAACAAATACTAAGTCTAAATAAATTAGTAATGAAATCACAGCAGGTAACTTTGAATATAAAGCTGCTTATGCATTCTCATGATTTCAGTAACATTCTTGCTGGTAACTGTATGTGACTAAATAGGATTGCCCAAAGAGACTGACATGGTTGGAATTCACTGTCCTTAAGTTTTCTCTCTTTTCCATAATTCCATTATTTCTGACTAATTATCTACTTATCATTTAAGCTACTTTTCCTTTCCCTTTTGTTGTGTGGAAACAGAGGAATTGAAAACTGGAGCTCTAGAAAATATGAATAGATAAATTCAGTGATTTAAATATTATAGGTGTGTTCTTAGGTTATGTGCCTTAATCTTTTTATTTCTAATAACAGGAAGCCCGGGACTTGGAAGACAAATTGCTTGATGTTAGAAAGAAGAGATTGCGTATGTAGAACACTTTTTTTTTTTTTTTGGAGAATACATTTTCACTTAATATGAAGATTGATAAGTCCAGATCTCTCAATCACTGAAAAATTTTTTAATTTCCTTAAAACTTTGGACATAGCAATTTAAAAAGTAGTATAGGGCTTCCCTGGTGGCGCAGTGGTTAAGAGTCCGCCTGCCGATGCAGGGGACGCAGGTTCGTGCCCCGGTCTGGGAAGATCCCACATGCCGCGGAGCGCCTGGGCCCGTGAGCCATGGCCGCTGAGCCTGCGTGTCTGGAGCCTGTGCTCCGCAACGGGAGAGGCCACAACAGTGAGAGGCCCGCATACCGCAAAAAAAATAAAAAATAAAAAGTATATAAAATGGATTTTGCTTGATTTGTTGTTTTAGAACTTTAAATCACAAAAATTAAGACATTCTCAGTGGGGGAAGGAATATCAAATAATACAAAAAAGTAGAATGTGAAAGCCATACCTCCATCCTGTGTGACCGCAGTTAGGAGTACATCATTCCAGGCCTTTTTCCACACCCATATAAATGTATATAAACATAATTTTTTTTAATTTATTTATTTAATTTTATTTTTGGCTGCATTGAGTCTTTGTTGCTGTGCGCGGGCTTTCTCTAGTTGCGGGGCGCCGGCTTCTCATTGCGGTGGCTTCTCTTGTTGTGAAGCACGGGCTCTAGGCGCACGGGCTTCAGTGGTTGCAGTATGTGGGCTCAGTAGTTGTGGCTCTTGGGCTCTAGAGCGCAGGTTCAGTAGTTGTGGCGCACGGGCTTAGCTGCTCCGCAGCATGTGGGATCTTCCCAGAACAGGGCTCGAACCCGTGTCCCCTGCATTGGCAGGGGGATTCTTAACCACTGTGCCACCAAGGGAGCCCCCTAAACGTAATTTTTAAATGATCACTTGATGCATATGGTTCTACAGCTTTTTAACTTAATGAACATGAGATGGCTTTTTGCATTGAAATGTTTTATTGAAATGTATTTCAGAAGTAACACATATTCTCCATAAAGAATTTAGAAACAGAAAAACATACATAGGAAGTTAAAATTTTAATTTTATCAAGAGATAGTCGATCTTTGATGCTTCTTATTTATAAAATAAAATTGGCATAATTTTATTCTGTGTTGTAAACTGCTTTTTTCATTTAACAGTATAGGCATGATTTATTATTTTAAAATACGTAGATTTGCCTTTTTGTAAGTAATCTCAGGGTTAGAAGTAGTCCTGGTCATCTGATCTAATCACCCTTTGGCTTTTTTTCCATTGCATTCCTGTGAAGGAACCAAGCTCCTGAGATACACCCATTTATGTTTTCAAATACTATCTGTCCCCAACTTATGATGTTTCGACTTAATGATTTTTTGACTTTATGATGATATGCATTTAGTAGAAACTGAATTCAGATTTTGAATTTTGCTCTTTTCCTGGGCTAGTAGCATACTCCAATGTGATGCTGGGCAGCAACTTCGAGCCCCAGCTCCTATCAGTCACGTGATCATAAGGGTAAACAACCAATACACTTACAACTATTATGTTTTTCACCTTCAGTACAGTATTCAATAAATTACATGAGATACTTAACACATTGTTATAAAACAGGCTTTGTGTTAGATGATTTTGCCCATTTGCAGGCTAATGTAAGTGTTCTGAGCATGTTTAAGGTAGGCTAAGTTAAACTGTGATGTTTGGTAGATTAGGTGTACTAAATGCGTTTTTGACTTAGGATGTTTTCAACTTAAGATGGGTTTACCAGGAAGATTTCTAGTTTAGTTCTCAGAACATTTCAGGAACAACAACAAAAAAATGGTTGATGGTATTTATCCCTGGAGAAGGGAATCTTACCTTTCCTTAAAAATTCATCTTGTTGATATTGTAATTTTTGTAAAGGGGGGAAAGTATTTCCTTACGTATATCTCCTGCTATTTTTTTGGCAACCCAGAGTAAGTCCTCTTTGACATGATGCCACAGCAAACGTTTGTAGACAGTATCATTGTCATACATACATACCTTGAACATCTCACAGAGGACATTACTAAGTATGAAATTAAAATATTGGTGTTTTGCACCAGAGAAATCATTTTCAGATCAAAATGGAACTGCAGCCTAAAATGCTGCTTATTAAAAATTTTCTCTTGACTGAAATAATCAGTAACTGTTCTGCTTCATAAGTTTTCAAGATTCTTGTTTATAGGAGTTATCATATATAGTATATCGTTTTATTTTTAACCCAATAGAGTTAAAACAAGCTTCAGAAAGGAAGCTTTTAGAAATACAGACAGAAAAGAACAAACAGAAAGATGATTTGAGTAGTATGGAAAATTCGGGGAAGATAAAGACCATACAACAAAACCTGGAGATGGAGATACAGATTACTACAGTTATTCAACATGTGTTCCAGGTAATATTTTTATAAAATAGGAAGTGGGGTAAAGAACTTTTAAAAAATGAATGGTTCTATTACTTTCAGGCTTATTTTCATTTTTTTTTTTTTTCATTTAGCTTTTGATCTTACTAAATAATTCAGTACTGAATATCAAGCTGTTTGCATATATCTTGAATTTATGTCTATTTAGCATTTAAGGCTTTGGTTTTTTTGTTATAGTTAGACCTTAGGCATTTATAAATGGAAATGATGTCAGCAGCTCTGTGGAGGCGGAATGGTATAACGGTGGAGAACATTAGACTTCAAGTTGGGAAGTGGGGAAAACATGGATGCAGGTGATGGGAATCTAGAGTTAAGATCCTGCCAGCTACTTAATAGTTGCTGAGGGACTTTCCTGGTGGCACAGTGGTTAAGAATCCGCCTGCCAATGCAGGGGACATGGTTTGATCCACAGTCTGGGAAGATCCCACATGCCACGGAGCAAATAAGCCCTTGCGCTACAACTACTGAGCCTGCATGCCACAACTACTGAAGCCCATGCGCCTAGAGCCCATGCTCTGCAAAAAGAAAAGCCACTGCAATGAGAAGCCCACGCACCACAACAAAGAGTGGCCCCTGCTCACTGCAACTAGAAAAGGCCCACACACAAATAAATTAAAATAAATAAATTTTTTTAAAAAGTTGCTGACCTTGAGGAAATTATTTAACTTTTCTAAGCATTAGTTTCCTTGTGTAGGAAGAGTGGTTATTAGAACTAAAGGTGATAATTCATGTTAATCTGTTTAGCATAGTGTCTGGTCGAAGCAAATTCTCAATGAATATTGGTAGTTATTGTCATGTCAGGGTTTTTTTTATTTTTATTTTTTAAGTTTAGTTATTTATTTTTGGGCTATGTTTGGTCTTTGCTGCACACAGGCTTTCTCTAGTTCTGGCAAGCAGGGGCTACTCTTTGTTGTGGTGCTTGGGCTTCTCATTGCAATGTCTTCTCTTGTTGCAAAGCACGGGCTCTAGGTGCAGGGGCTTCAGTAGTTGTGGCACACAGGCTCAGTAGTTGGTGTGCAGGGGCTTAGTTCTTCCACGGCATGTGGGATCTTCCCGGACCAGGGATCGAACCCTTGTACCCTGTATTGGCAGACGGATTCTTAACCACTGCGCCACCAGGGAAGTCCCCATCATGTCAGTTTTTAAATTTTATGTGTTCATTTAGCCTGGAGGTTTTTCTTTACTTTTTTTTTTTTTTTTAATATTTATTTATTTATTTGGCTGTACCGGGATCTTCATTGCTGCGTGCAGGATCTTTAGTTGTGGCATGCGAACTCTGTTGCGGCATGCGTACTCTCAGTTGCGGCATGTGGGATCTAGTTCCCTGACCAGGGATCAGTCCCAGGCCCCCTGTATTGGGAGCACGGAGTCTTAGCCACTGGACCACAAGGGAAGTCCGTCTTTACTTTTTTTTTTTAATAAATTTATTTATTTTATTTATTATTTTTGGCTACATTGGGTCTTCGTTGCTGTGCGCAGGCTTTTCTCTAGTTGTGGTGTGTGGGGGCTACTCTTCGTTGTGGGGCGCAGGCTTCTCATTGCAGGGGTTTCTCTTGTGGAGCATGGGCTCTAGGTGCACGGGCTCAGTGGCTGTGGCTTGCAGGCTCAGTAGTTGTGGCTCGCGGGCTCTAGAGCACAGGCTCAGTAGTTAAGGTGCACAGGCTTAGTTGCTCCGTGGCATGTGGGATCTTCCTGGACCAGGGCTCGAACCTGTGTGCCCTGCATTGGCAGGCAGATTCTTAACCACTGCGCCACCAGGGAAGTCCTGAGGATTTTTTAAAATCTTGTTAAATTTTTAAGAGTACTTAGAACATTAATTTAAAAAATTTTTTTCTTAATTACAGAACCTCATTTTGGGGAGTAAAGCCAACTGGGCAGAGGATTCTGCCCTTAAGGAAACTGTTCTGCAGCTTGAGAAGAATCTCACCATGATCCAATAAGAATTCTGTTTTGATGTTTTTTTTGTTTCTGTCTTTAATGTCATTTAAATTGCAAACTTCAAGTGAAATGCTTTTCGGTGTTTTTGGAACTGTTGTAATACTGCAATTTTTTTTTAGCTTAACAGTGGTACATGGAATTTACTGCTTTAAATATGATAAAGTGACTGGCATAATCTAAAAGAATCTGAAAATGTTAGCCTTGGAAGTGTCCCAAAAGATATCTAGTCCAGCTTTCCACTGAATGTGGACTTTTTTTTTTTACAACATTCCTGTAAGTCCCAACTCTCATTTGGAATACTTCTCTGTATTTGTTTGTCAACCAAAATATTGGAAATTTAGAAAAGCATATCCACATCTTTATTTTTTTCAACTGTCAATTGTATTTTACTCAAATAAATCTCATTTTAGTTCTGTCTCACTAGAGATTTTCTTTTGCCTTTTTAAAAAAAATTTGCGATATAATTGATATATAACATTGTGTAAGTTTAAGATGTACAACATGTTGATTTGACCACCATGGCATTAGCTAACACCTCCATCATGTTACATAATTATCATTTCTTTATCATGGTGAGAATATTTAAGATTACCCTCTTAGTAACTTCGAAGTATGTAATATAGTATTGTTAACTAGAATCACAGTGCTGTACATTAGATCTCCAAAATTTATTCATCTTCTAACTGCAAGTTTGTACCCTTTGACCACCATTTCCCCAGTTCTCTCACTCCCCCATCTGCATTTTTAAACAGACACCCAAATAAAGCACCTCAATCATGAAAAAGAAAGAAAAAGAAAAGCATATTCAAAATGTTAACAGTTGTGGTTATTATAGAAAATTTGTGACTTTTTTCTTTCGTATTTTTATGTTTATTGTGCATTACTTTTATAAGTTAAAAAATAAAAAGAATATTATTCTATCTTATTAAAAAATAGAACTTGCCACCTTTTATAGAATTCAATTCCATTTTTGGAAAACTAATTTGAGCTCTTTATTAATTTGGAGCTGTTGATAATTTTTATAGACAATGTAGTGTTTTCAACATTCTTTTAATATGGACTTTAAGGGATCCCTGCTCAGGGAACTAGATCCCACATGCATGCCTCAGCTAACAGTTTGCATGCCGCAACTAAGGAGCCGGCAAGCCAGAACTAAGAAGCCGGTGCGCTGCTACTAAGTAGCCCACCTGCCTCAACTAAGACCTGGCACAACCAAAGAAATAAATATTTTTTAAAAATTGCTCTAGTTGAAAAAGACATAATGACGTTTAAAAAAAAAAAAAGAAGGAATTTAAACTGGAAAAGATGCACTGCAGTGGTAATAGCATTTGAAATCTGTTCTTTAGATCGGTAACAAAAATAAAGAGATTTGAATTCTAAAAACTTTTCTTTGGAATATTTATAGTTTTGCTTCATTTGTTTTGATAAATCATAATTTATGTGTAGTTTTTTAAATTGTTTTTTTTTTTTTTTTTTTTGGTGGTACGCGGGCCTCTCACTGTTGTGGCCTGTCCCATTGCGGAGCACAGGCTCCAGACGCGCAGGCTCAGCGGCCACGGCTCACAGGCCTAGCCGCTCCGCGGCATGTGGGATCTTCCCAGACCGGGGTACGAACCTGTGTCCCCTGCATCGGGAGGCGGACTCTCAACCACTGCGCCACCAGGGAAGCCCTAGTTTTTAAAATTTTATGTGTAGTTACTCTTTTTGCCACAGTGTATTCTTGGAAATGGTCCACATGAATTATAAAACAAGTTATATTTTTCTCATAGAAAAACATTCTGGAAAATACCTTCCTGATCCAAAGATACAGCATTAAATAAATCATAGATGCATGCTTTATTAGTGAATCCCAACTCAAAGGGTTACCACCATCCTCAGAAAAACTTTCTGCATTTTCCTAAGATTTTATTGTCCTGTTGTGTGCTCCCTCTTAAAGCCCAGCTCTGAGGGAGAAATTGTATTAGTTAGCTTTCTTGGAAATCATGCTGAAAAACCTCAAATCTCAGTGGCTTATAAGAAACATATTCTCTGTTGGATCCATGGTTTGGCTGATTATTCTAGGACCCAGGCTGAGGGTGCAGCCACTATCTGAAACACATGCTCATGGCTTATGAGGCCAAGTCAAATTATACAAGCACATTTCGTTTCTACTTGGAAGAGGTATACATTATTTCCACCCAGGTTCCACTCAAGCTCAACATCACTGGGGCAGGAAAGTATACTCCCACAGCAGGGAAGTGCTGGGGAAACCAAATGGATATTTGCTGAAAAGAATATAGTCCGCCGCAGCCTGCTACCTTGGTCTTAAATATTAACTTCCCTTGCATGTAAAAGATGCACCTCTCCCCAAAGAAGGTAAGCTAACAATGTCATCTAGTCATACCGGTTCAAAGAGTCTTCACATTATTTCAGATGTAGCTCTTCCTGATCTGGAGACCTGTGAACTGAAAAGACAAGCTATACTGCTTCACACAGCCAGCAAACAATAGTGGAGAACGACTAGCAATTCTGAAACATTGCTTGGCAAGTGGTAGGAGGTGCCCTTTCCTAGGGGACAGGGAACACCTTTGGATTTGGCTCTCTGAAAGCAGTTCTTTATCTGTGCTTTATTCTGCTCTTTGAGAGGTTCTCCCTCTCCATTACTAACTTTGGCCATATCTGGAGAGGGCATTAGAGATTATGCCCATCTGAACAGCTTTCTTCGTTGGGGACCCAAATAGCTTTTTACATCTCAAACAGTCACAGTCTTTTAAAATCCAGGCTAGTGGTGCTTTTGCTAATACATTTTTCTTAAAAATGGTGGTGGTGGTGATGGTTGTTTTGGTTGGTTGTTTCGTCATATCAAACTGATTTACCAGCTGACTGGTTTTATAAATAAAGTTTTATTGGAACAAAGCCACACCCATATGTTTACATATTATCTATGGCTGCTTTCCCTCTACAATAGCATACGCTGGTCCCCTGCTTATGATGGTTCAGCTTAGGATTTTTCAACTCTGATGGTGCAAAAGCTATATGCATTTAGTAGAGACCATACTTTGAATTTTGAACTTTGATCTTTTCCTGGGCTAACAATACTCTCATGATGCTGGGCCGCAGCAGCGAGCCACATCTGTCAGCCACACAGTCACAGAGGCAAACAACCAGTATACTTAGAACCATTCTGTTTTTCACTTTCAGTAGAGTAGTCAATAAGTTGCATGACATTTTCAACACTTTATTATAAAATAGGCTGTGTTAGATGATTTTGCCCAACTGTAGGTTAATGTGTTGTGAGCACATTTAAGGTTAGGTGTATTGGGACTTCCCTGGCGGTCAGGTGGTTAAGGCTTTACCTTCCAATGCAGGGAGTGCTGGTGGAACTAAGATCCCACATGCCTTGCAGCCAAAAAGCCAAAACATAAAACAGAAGCAATATTGTAACAAATTCAATAAAGACTTAAAAAAATACATTAAAAAAAGGGTTAAGTGTATTAAATTCATTTTGACTTAGGATCTTTTCAACTTAGGATAGGTTTATTGGGACGTAACCCCATCATAAGATCTCTAGTTGGGCTTCCCTGGTGGCGCAGTGGTTGAGAGTCCGCCTGCCGATGCAGGAGACGCGGG